GGCAGCGGCGCCGCGAAGACGCTCCCCGGGTGCAGGGCCTCGCGGTACGGCGCGCGGAAGACGGCGGGCACGGCGACGGTGGCCGCCGAGAGCACGACGCTGACGAGGTGCGCGACGGCCGTGTTGGCAAAGGCGAAGGCGTACACGTACCGCAAGGAGCTGGCCGTCTTGCGGGCGTCTGCGTCGCCGCGCCCGCCGACGAGATACGCCGCGACCAGGAGCACGGCCACGTACGCCGGCCACGGCTGCCACACGGCGATGCAGATCTGCTTGAGGTCGTGCGTCATGGTCTCGGAGAGGGGCACAATCATGAGCAGCGAGGGGACGAACATGGCCACGGTGAAGACGTGCGGCAGCGCGCGGAGCACCGTGTGCGGAATCCGCATATTCGTGGTTGTCGGGTTGGTCGCCGTCGTAGAGTAGCACAGGTGCAGCAGGGCGTAGAGCGGCGTGGCAAAGGCAAACGTGAGCACCTGGGCCGTGAGCCCGAGGACCGCCGGGCTGTCATTTCACGAGCAGTCAGCATCTGATATTGGAGGAAGATGTCCATGTCACACTCACAAGGCGGCCGCGGTGCCGGCGCTTCCCTTGCGCCACGACTCGAGCGTCACCAGGATCCAGGCCGAGGCAAAGGTGCCCGAGAAGGCGACCGAGTGCAGCGTCAGGGCGGGCTGGCTGCCGTCGCCGACGGGCCAGAAGAAGACGGTCAGGGTGGTGAGCAGCTGGTCGAGCGGCGCGAGGCCGGTGTAGCGCGTCCGGAGCGGCACGTCGAGGCCCGGCAGCGTCTGGGCGTGCTGCGCCGCGTCGCCCAGCGCCCGGAGGCCATTGGCGTCGGCGAAGTAGAAGATGAAGTAGAAGACGGAGAGCGAGAGCAGCGCGAGCAGCAGCTTGGCCGACATGGTGGGCGCGTCAGGTTCCTCGGGTGCTGGTGCCAATGGGCGTCTGGTGGTTGAAGTCGGGACGGTGCAGGTGGCGGGGACGGAGGGGACTTTATCGTCGCCCTGGGAGGCGGAAACGGACAGGGACCAAGGCCCGGCTTGACGCTCGCTCTCGTCTCCATCCCGTCTGGTTGCTTCTGGTCTCGTGCCGAGACGCCGACGGTGAAATTTGGCGGTTGCTGATGGGCCGTTTGGCAAGGCGGAGCCCCGGATGCAAGAGTTGGCCCGAACGGGGATGCCACATGTTTTTTTTCTTGTTGCCTTTCGCGGGCCAGGCCACGTAGAAAGGTGATTTTTTTTTAGTCGCGGTAATACAAAGTACACACTCTTGAATGCGTTTCACGATAACATTAAATGAAACTGGCCGTTGACTATAGTGTATTGTGCCTCTGGCCGAGTTGCCTGCGTCGCGCGTGGGCCGGAGTACTAAAGCCGAGGCAGTCGGAACGGACCGACCAGACGGAGTTGAACGCCGGTGCGGGTTATGCAGGTCTCTACATGTACAAGGCAACGAATCGCTACATATGTCCTACTTTGTACGCTTTTCATGCTTGCTACTCAATACATTCTGCCCGTGATGCCGGGCCACACACATCGATGATGAGAGCCCATCATACAAGAGACAACACCATTATCCTCGCCTTGGTTGTTGCGCTGGGCTAGGCTCTGCGGTAATAATGGTCTTGTAGCCGCCACAACCGTCTGCGACGACTGAGTTGTAGTCATCACCCACGGAGCCGTCCAAGTGCACGCGGCCTTCCTCTGCCAAATAGCTTTCATGAGTCTGTATTGTTCCCTTTTCCCCATCACGCGATCTTTTTGTGCCGTCCGGTTGCATCTCCTCCCGTTTGATCGTTGTGGTAACGAGTATACCCCCGCAACCATGAGGCCCATCCGTGTTCGTGTCACTTCTCGTCGAGCATCGATCCATGGCGGAGAGAGAATCGCTCCCAAGAGCAGAACACGTAGATGGCAACGCACAGGGCTTGAGCTCTTGCGTGGCAGTCGGCTTCAGCTGTCTATTGGCCTCTCCATCTGTCGAGGCCGTGCTCGCGGTGCCCGCATTGTCCTTGGAGGTGATCCATTGGATGACAATGGCAGAGAACAAAACTGCCAGTTTTCACGTCAGATGTCCGCATTTGACAACTTCACCGGGCCATTTGGACAAGAAAAAACGTACTGTCGCAATTGCAACACAGCAGGCAGATCCAGCCTGCTTCTCCGCCGAGCGCCATGAGGACCGCAATGTTTCTATAATCGCATAAGATTCCATTTGCGTAGAAGAAATTCGCAACCGTGTTATAGCGAAGCACCTACACTATACTACTCAACAGCGTGGCCATGGCGCCACAAAGGGTTCGAGTAGCAACGCTCCGTAGTCTCAAGATCGCCGGTGTTCGGGGCATGCTCTTGTACGAATAAAGATCTATACATGCACAAGTCAAACATCTGCGCATCGTGTATGGTACAGCGGCATGGTACAAAACTTACTGCGCAGCGGAACAAGGAAAAGAATCGTCAGGTAAATATTCGCCACGGTGTCAAAGGCAAGGAGCGGGATCATGGCCGCGCTTTTCATGCCAATCTCGCACACGCCGTTTTCCAACTTGGCTATACGGCTATGAATAGTCGACTGGGTAAGTATGCTTGACAGTGGGCGCACTCCATGTTTGCACGGGCGTGGTAGTAGCTTACAACACGACGTTGAGGATTCCGACAACCACGTATAATCCGAGCATACCGAAACAGTTGAACATGTACAGCTTGGAGTGCATTCTCTTCTTGGTAGTGCCCCGTACAAAATGCTGTCCACTGCTGCGTTAGTTTTGTATGGCAAACACAAGACGGTATGGTGTATTGCGCCAGACGCACCGCTTTTTCAACCAAAAATAGGTAGATAAACTACACGTCTATGTTAGCCTCGTGGGAGAATAACCTGGGTGTCCTGCGACACTTACCACCTAGCTCATGCTCGTCAGCTAATGTCTACAAGACACACCAAAAAAAAAACAGATGAATTTTTACTTCCGCAGAATACACTCACCTTGGTGGTAACGTAACACGCTAGGCAAAGTAAAATGGCCCCTTGACAGGTGGTCAAACTCGAGTTGACGCCGATGGATTGTTGCAGTATAGCGGTAGCAAAAACAAACATGTACGAGTCGACGTATATGGCAAAGACCACTGCGCCCAACGCCGTGTCAGACGGGACTCGAGGACAAGGTGCGACATGACTTACACCAAACCAGGATGGGGAGCCGCGTCCAAGACTTGATGACCAGGCATCTCTGAGCTTCAAAGTTTTCCGTTAGTAAGGGTATAGCAGCTCTCTAGCGCTGCGCAAGGGATGCGGAAAAGGGACCTACTCAGAAATAAAGTAAGCGCCGTGGTCGACAGCAGCGATATTCCCATGCATATGATCCGCCCGGCGATGGGGACCGGCGCTTCGGTAGACATTGTAAAGAGGGATATTCCGTATGCTTTTTGTGAATCTGATGCCGAAAACTTGAAATATAATGTGAAATTGGCTTTTGTCTCGCCTCTAGCTCTCAGCCAAGAGTTGTTGCGACTTTGGAAACCACGGGTGTCAATCTGCCGCCAAGTGCAACCATGGGTTCAATATGGCAAGAAAGAAAAGTATTCAAGTCCATTTTCCACTAATTTTAGTGCAAGAATATTCACATTGGGAGTAATTATATTCTATTTTTCTCGACTGGACGATGGAACCAGCTGAGCACCAGCCATGGTGGCAGATTAACCACAACACGGCGGCTTGAGAAGGGCCAATTTTTGGCCTCGAAACTAGTAGGCAGAAGAACAAGATAGGGGTGAAATATTGGCAAGCTGAACGTCGCACAGGGCATCAAAAGAAAACATTGTGCGCGGGGCTAAAAAAAAGCAACATGTCAACGTGCTATAACATGGACTGGAGCCAGCTGGTAGGGCGACAAATTAAAGGCACAAAGCCACTGTCATGTAGGCGAATAGCAAGCCCGCCTGGTCGAGACGCGAATGTGACGTATAATACGTGCGGTGCTGCGTTTCTTGCGGCTTGGAGCTTTGGCACCGTGGCTTGCATGGCGCCAATGTCATGCCGTTGTTGGATTGCGGGACAATCGATAGATGTGGGTTATGGATATTTCTTTTTGCTGCCATGCGAAAAGACGCGTGCGAGCGTGACAAGTTATTAATAACGCTAATTTGCGTCAAAGAAGTAAAAACATCTGTCAATATCCATGGAGATGGACACAGACTCGCTGCCACCACGTGGCGTAACATATACATGTGAAAAAAAGAAAAGACAAAAAAGAGAGAAGAGAAAACCCAGCCACGGATACTATCATGCCAAATTATGCCTTTTCTCATCTAAGTCGTCCAAAATCCCTCACTATTCGTTCATGTTTTACAAGATTGAGGCACGTCTCAGTCCAAAGACCTCTGTTGACGCCTCAACTGTGCAGAAAGCCCTTTCTACAAAAGCACTCACGACTTGGCTCAGGTGATCGAATCAAAGAAATAGATTACCACTTGTGAGCTGCGACGAGTCCCCAAGCCACGTCCCTCTGAGATCTCGTCATATGATATAAATTCTGATTGTGAACAAAATATGCCATGTTTATTTGGTGCCATGACGTGATTTCAGCGATATGCAACGTACTCAAAGCAAATCCCCTAAGCGATTAATTACGAGGCTTTCCACCAGACGATAAGAAAAATAAAAGCCGTAGTTTGATGCTAGTTTGCAATGGCCAAGAATCCCCGCCGTTAGATAAATGGGTGCTGTTTTGACGTTTGTCATTCTTTCCCCCAACAGAATGCGCCTCGCGTACAATTATAGAAACGCCTTCCGTTGGCTGTCATCTTGTCAGCCAAAAACCACCACGTGATAGGGTATACTATCACTTGTCACAATGTAACCATGTAGCGTAGTTCGGGACGAGCCAAATTGTTACAAGGGAGGCTTAGAGGAGTAACTCAATTCATCTAATAGTAGTCTTTGGTACTAAAGAGCCCTGATTTCTGAAAGTCCTGGATGACTCAAAAAGCTCAATTTACACAAAGAAGAAGTTGTCCACAAAGTATGATATATACAGGAAGTCTTGGATCTCTGAAGAGAGAGGACATGTACATTTACGTCCCCGGTTGCGTTAGGGTTAGGGTCAATGAGAAGTACAGCTCAGCAATTTGGTTGTGGCTATGATAATCATGCCAGCCGTAACGTTCAGCCACTTCGGACAGCACCGCGATTTTTACATGGAAATCGCCCTGTTACACAAGGGCTACGGTCACGGGATTAGGGAAGAAGGCCCTCACCGACTTCTTATAATTAAAGACGTCTTTGACCTCCAAGGCCTTGAGGAAAACCAAGGACCTTTGATACCAAACACTGTTATTAGCTGAATTGAGTTATTGCCCCATGCCCTCTTTGAGCCCTTGTCACAGCGATAGCGTACAGCAGTGACTTTAAAAACAACCGCAATCTTGCGGGGTGCGTTGATGGGATACGCCCGACTCTTTCCTTTCATAAAGTCTAGCCGTGAATGTGCCGATCCGCCTCACCTTCGCCAGTGGTGTGGCCAGTGGCAAGGTCTTGGCTGAATTTTCATTCGGCGGCTGAGGATCAAAGGAGCCGTCCGGCGAGGCTATTGCCCTCGTTTCCAAAAATTGCTACTTGATATGAAAGTCACAGAACTTGGGTTTCAGCTGTACTATATCGTTGACTGTGTAATTTATGGAGAAAAGTCGGCCATGTCGTCAGGTCAAGTCTTTTAGGTGCAAGAATATGACATGACGAGTTTACAACAAAGGATTTTGCTCTTTCGTAAACACGAGAGTACTGGACGCTTCTGGCGGCGCCGTACACGCCTGATTGGGTTTGAGGGCCCATGTGGCAACCTCCAAGACTGTGTCGAGAAACGACATGGCAGTCTGTATTCGGATCAAGCACGCAACACAAGGTA